AGTGCCCGCGCGCGCGCGCGAGCGGGCGGGGGGCTCTCGCCTGCCTGTGGGGCCCACTCCCGCTCGGATCCGGTCCGGCTCGGCGTCGAGCTCGCCGGGCTCGAGCCGGCCTGGCCTCGACGTTGCAGCGATGAGGTGGTGCGGCCCGGCGCTCACACGGCGCCGTTGCGGACCCGCTTCGGTTTGCGGCTCCGGGCCGTTGCGTGGCCCGGAGCAGGCGGGGCGGGAGCAGGCCGGGGCTCAAGAGGCGGGGGTCCATGCAAGCGGGAGTCCGCCAGAGTGCCGGACCCGGCAGGATCCCGCGGGGCCAGGGCTGCATTGACCCAGGCTTGGGTGCACTCAAACCAGGCCTGTCCCTCGACAGGAGGAATCAAAAAATAGTCAGGGTACGACTTTTTCATTTTTTTTGTCTATTTTGGTGAATTTCTGAACTTTTTTTAACTCTTCGTCCAAAATCCGCCTGTAGGAGGACATGCCCGACCTAAGTCTGCACGAGCCTGACTGACCTGGGTCCATCCACACCCGGGTCAGTATAGAGCTCCGCGCAGGAGGAGGAGCGGCAGCGGGAGGGGGAGGAGGAGGAGGCGCGGGAGCGGGAGGAGTCGCGGGGCGAGGGGCCGTCCTTCACGCGGGGCGGGTTCCTCTCGCGCACCACCTCCGGCACGCACGTCCGCCTGCCGCTGCCACGCGGACGGGCAAGGAGTGGCCTTTCGGCGTCCGATTCGGCGTCCCCTGCACGCGGAGGGCCTGCGAGAGTTAGTTTTCAGCGTCCGATTCGGTGCGACCGATCCGATTCGGTATCGATTTCGACCGGTTCGAGACGATTCGATCCCAGTATTCCGACGGCCAGATGCAGCCCGACGTGTTGCATCCGCGCTGTTGTGCATGCTGTCACGGCGGATCCGCTTCGATTTCGATTCTGTGCCGATGCAGCCTGCTCCGATGCACATTCCGATCCGACCTGCTTCCCCGATCAGCTGCCGACTGATCCTGGCCTAGGAGTGTGCCCCTCCCTGCCGAGGCGGCACGAGCGGTTCGTCCTAGCAACGAAAGCGCTGGAGCTCGGGGCAGCAGGAAGCTGGACATACGGTGGAGCCGTTGCTCCGGGAGCGTGCACGGGAGGCTTCAGACCCTGGAGGGCCCCTCCTCTGAGGAGGGCGGCGGTCAGCTCCACCGCCGATCCGCGATTGGAGCTCTACTGTCCTCCAGACCCTGCACTCCCCATCCACTGCTTCCTCTTCTCTCCCCCGGGCCCCCACCCTGCAATGACGCGGCTGCCCCGGTGCGGGCGGTGCGGGCGCGCGCGGCCAGCGGCCTCTCCAGCGCTCGGCCCGCCCGCCCGGCTCGGCCGTCCGGGCCCGCCCGCCCGACCCGCCCGTCGGGCCCCGCCCGCCCTGCCCTTCAGGAGGGGCCGAAGGAGAGGGGGGGGGATCTAGGGAGAGGGGGGGAGAGGGGGGGATAGGGAGAGGGGGGGATAGGGAGAGGGGGGGAATAGGGAGAGGGGGGGGGGATAGGGAGAGGGGGACATAGTTAGGGAGAGAAGGGGGGGGGGTCACGAAGTCTGCTGCATGCGGCCGGTCTCGGCCCCTCCGAGGGGCCCATTGTCCTCGATGCGTGGCCGCCTCCGGCGCCAGGAGGCGCCGGGAAAATCAGCCACGTGAGCTGATTCTCAAACCCCCCCCTTTGCTATCCCCCCCTTTCGCCCAGCCCGACTCAAATCGGGCCCCTCTACAGGAGGAGTGTTCAGAAAGAGTCCAACAACAGTCTTGGGACGATCTTTTGACTATTTTGGGCAATTTTTGAATCTTTGCTGTGTGTGTGTGTGTCAATTCTACATTTTTCTTCCAAAACTTTCCTGTAGGAGGACATGCCCGACCTAACCCTACCCGCCCGTTCAGTTCTGCCGCTCCTTTTCCTGCGCCTAACCCCCTTTCCTTCTACTCTCCCTGGCTCCATCCTTCTCCCTCCCCCTTGCCCCTTTCCCATATCCCTCCTTTCCCTATCCCTTTCTCGCACTCCTGCCCTCCTCGCTATATACATATATATACACGTGTATATATATATATATATATGTGTATATATATATATATATATATATGTTTTTTCATGCCTCCCTTCTATTCCTGTTTGGGGTGCTGCACGAAGTACACGTGGCAGGTAAGGAAGACATACACCCAAGGGGGCTACGATCGAAGACGAAGGGGGCGGCTATCGAGGGTTATGGATGCACATGTGGATTGCCACGCGAGCAGATGAGAGCGAGCATTATTAAACTGATTGTTGTTGTGGCGGTTGTTTTTTTCTAGACCCCCCTTGTGGTGACCTTTTTTTTGGTCCCTCCCAGGTCTCGCACCCAGTTGTTGTCAGGGGAAGGTCTTGAGGCTCAAACTATGCCCCTTGCCCGAGGGTTTTGGGGTATGCATGTTGAGTGGCACTCGATAAACCAAGAGCGATCAGTCTGAAACTGATTGTTGGTGCTGCTGTGATTGCTGCCTTCGCTGTTGTTGTCGATGAACCCCATTTCTGAAAGAAGTGTTCTTGATCACCCCCCAGTGCCCACGGTGTTTTTCAATTGAATTGCCCCCCCACGGGTCTTGCACCGTGTTCCTATCAGGGAAAGTCTTGAGGCTCAAATTACGGCGCTGGCCACCAGTTTACAACAGCAGCGGCGGCCGCCTGATACTTGATACTTGGTCCCAATGTATGAAGGGATCTCGCTTTCCCTGGGGACCGACCTGCAATTTCCCAGGAATCGCGCTCTCGCTGGGACCTCCTTGCAACTTATGCAGACGCTGGCGCCCTCGACGTCACCTCTCACTCGGGGATCGTGCTCCCGCCCGAGGCTTCTTCTTCACAGCTGACGAAGTTCGCTCCAGTGGCCCGCCCTCCCGTCAGGACCCGCCCGCCCGACCCACCCAGTTTAAGGCCCGCCCGCCCGACCTGCCTGCAAGGGTCCGCCCGCCCAGCCCGCCTGCTGGGGTCCGCCCGCCTCACCCGCCTGTCAGGGTCCGCCTACCAAATCGTCCTGCTGCTCGGTCCCCGTCCTGCTAGATTCTGTCCGTCCTCAATTCTCTTGTCTCCCTCGTGCCCCCCTTTACTCTCGCTTCTTCCTGCCTTCCTCGCGGTCTCCCCCTTTCCTTTCTCCCTCCTCTTCTTGCTTTGGGCCCCCCGCCAATTACACGTGGCAAGGGAGGAATCTGTTCTCCTCGCAGGGGGTACGCTCGAAGAGGGTGTGGGGGTAGACATTGTGAATGACACGAGAGCAACGAGGAACGAACAGTCTTAGAGTAATTGTTGGTGTTCTTGTGATTGCTGCTGCTGTTGATGTTGACCTCCTATTCTGAAGGCGTTACGGCTGGTGCCGCCGACCCGCGGGACCTGCCCTGGGACCCCGGGGCCCTCGAGCTGTTTGTGCCTTCACACACTTTGATGCTATAATATACATATACATATACATACACATATACATATTCACATACATATACATCAACACATATATACATCTACACATACACGTACATTCCCAGTTACATATACATCTACATATACACGTACGTTTTCATCTACATATACACATACATATGCACATGCATACACATATATACACCATTTACATATACACAAACGTATACATATACATATACCTATGCATACACATATTCATATACACACCTCTACATACGCATATACATGTACATGTAATATACACATACATCTACATATACACATACATTTATATACACATGCATATCCATACACATACATATATAACTACAACGCATTTATATATATATATGTATACATATATACACACATCCAATTACATACACATGGTTACATATAGCTACACACATACATGTGTATATGTAGTCCTTCTCAGATGGAGGGGGCCGAACGGTCATTCACGGTCCCTGTGTGTGTGGTTGAAGTGGACATTCCGCGGTGCTGATTGTTGTTGTTGTTGTTGTTGCGTTTTTTGCCTTCGTCCCATCCTCGACCCATCCGCGACCCACCCGCGACCCACATGCGACCCCCATGCGACCCACCCCGCCACGCATCCACGACACACCCGTCACTGGCGACCCACCCGCGACCCGCGACCCACGCACTTGCTATGACGAAAGCTTCGGCGCCTGGGTCGGGCTCGTTGTTTGATTTATTTAGAAATGGGCGCCTGCGGCGGCCTTCTTCAGAGCCTTGCATGCCGCCGACGACCTCGCCGCCGCCTCACTCTTATCCACAAGTGCGGGCTGCTACATATTCGGGGTATGGTTATTTGATGTTGCCGTCGTCAAATCTGGAGTCAGGCACCCCAGACTTGTCTCGTCTGTGCTCCCCCTTTCCGGCTCCTCCGAGCCTTCTCGCCTGCCGCCTGCCCAAGGCCAGGCGCCGGCGTCCTCCTCATCGGAGCCCAGGGCCAAGGCTCGCGGCGCTTCTCCCCGCTCTCCCCTGCGCGCGCGCTCGCGGAGGCAAAGGGGACGTGTGCGTCGACGGGTGGGAGGAGGGTGGGAGGGAGGGAGGTGGAGGTTGGGAGGGAGGTACGCTGAGATAAAGAACCCTCCGGGTTCAGGGGGAGCTCTGCTTCTCGGGCTCCTCCTCGGGTCCAGGTCGGGGACCCCCCTTGTGGCTGAGGCTTTCCCGGCAAGGAGAACCCCTCGTCTCTTGTTCGGCGTTCCTGAAGACGGTAGCACGATGGCTGTGGTGGGTATAGGAGGCGAATGGTGAAGCTGGTAGATCGTGGATGCTTGTGCTAGTAGCGAAGACGATGATGATGAAAATGATGATGCTGTTGATGATGATGATACTGATGATTCTGATGATGATGGTGGTGATGATGCTGACGATGATAATGATGATGATGATGATGATGATGATGATGATGATGATGATGATGATGATGATGATGATGATGATGATGAGATGATGATGTTGCTGCTGATGATGATGGAACTGTTGTTGATGATGATGAGGGGGATGAGGATGATGGTGGTGATAATGAC